GCCTTCCCCCCCCCCCCCTTACTCCCCCTCCTGCGCGTGGCCGACCCTCTCGCGGCTGCGCGCCGCCTGGGCGGAGCTGGAGGCGGAGCCCGAGGCCGGCGCGGCGCGCAGCGGCTGGGTCCCGGAGGCGGTGCCCGCGGAGGGGCCGCTGCTGCGGGAGAGCGAGCTCTCGCTGCCGTGCGGGACGCGCTGCGTCCTGCGGCCCATCGAGGGGGGCTCGGGGCAGGTCGGCTCCTCCGCAGGAGCCTGGAAGATGCCGGCCCGCGGATCGGGTCTGGCTTTCTGTCGGGCGTGTCCCCCTACAGGGGGATTGTCGACGAAAAACAAAGGATACCTCCAAAATACCCCCAAAAGGCCAAAAAATACCCCCCAAAAAAGCCCCAGGCTATTTTTGGATTATTTTTGGATTATTTTTGGGGTGTTTTTAATTTTTTGTCGAAAATCCCCCTGTAGGGCGACAGGCCCGACATAAGTCTGGCTCCTGATCCTCCAGATCCAGATCAGTCTCGGCCTCCCAGATGGGGTCGGAGCAGATGGGGTCGGAGGATCGCCCCGCATTGCCGACGTCGCCAATGCATCGCCGATGCGGCGCGATCCTCCGACCCCATCCACTCGGGCCCCATCTAGGAGGCCTCTGGGATCAGCAGGGTCCCAGAGCGGTTCCGGATCGCCATGCACGGTGGCGGTGTGCAGATGCTTCCTGCGGCAGGAGGCATTTGCACACCGCCACCGTGCCTGGCCCAGGGCCACCCTGGGCCCTACAGGACGGTGCGCAGCTCGGTAGCAAGTCATGGGAGCCGTGTATACCCTCGCAAGTCCTTTGTCAGATTGCACTAGCGTCGATTAGCGTCGGGTAGTCGATGGGCCAGCGCCGATTCAGAGTCGATTAGCGTCGATTTAGCGTCGACCAGCGTCGACAAGCGTCGATTCGACAAGAATCGGCACACCGATACTAAGAGGTTGGCATGCCAAGGGGTGCCCCACGACTGTGTCCCTGATCTCCCCATGGTGCCGCAGAGCCCTGGGCCAGCCCGCGAAGCTCAGGGTCGACGAAGGCTGTGGCTCTGAATTTCTTATAGCAAGATCTCTTGGGCCCAAAGGCATCGATCGTTCCTTTCCTCCTCCTCCGCCTCCTCCTCCTCCGCCTCCTCCTCCTCCTCCGCCTCCTCCTCCTCCGCCTCCTCCTCCTCGTCCTCCTCTGCCTCCTCCTCCGCGAGGGACTCACGAGGGGCCACGCCCCTCAGAAGCTGCCTCCAGAAGACCCCCGGAGCACTCACTCCGAGAATCGTGGCCTACAGTAAAGACAAGACACTCCTCGCAGAGGCCAGGAGGGCGCATACACCATGCCGGTGCCCAGGGCGGCCCTGACCGTGGCACAGTGGTGGTGTGTGTGTGTATGTGTTGTGTTGTGTTGTGTTGTGTTGTGTTGTGTTGTGTTGTGTTGTGTTGTGTTGTGTTGTGTTGTGTGGTGTGGTGTGGTGTGGTGTGGTGTGGTGTGGTGTGGTGTGGTGTGGTGTGGTGTGGTGTGGTGTTGTGTTGTGTTGTGTTGTGTTGTGCTGTGTGCGTGTGTTTTGTGTGTGTGTGTGTGTTGTGTGTGTGTGTGTTGTGTGTGTTGTGTGTGTGTGTGTTGTGTGCGTGTGTTGTGTGTGTGTGTGTGTGTTTCGTGTGTTGTGTGTTGTGTGAGTGTGCGTTGTCTGTGTGTGTGTGTGTTTTGTGTGTCTGTGTGTGTTTTTGTTTAAATGGTTTTGCCTCTCTGCGCCACAGGTCGAGGCCACTGTGGAGTGGACCCGGGACGGCGCGGCGGCCTGGTGCGAGCCCCTGGCGAGGTTCCTGCGGGCGCTGGGCGCGGGCTGATGGCGGCGCCGCCGCCTCGAAAGGGCGGAGCTCCGGCGAGGCGCGGGCGGCGGGAGGAGGACTCGGACAACGCCTTGGGCCCAGGTGCAGCAGGAGCCGCCGGGCGCCTGGAGGTCTGGGTGCCCTCCTCCTCCTCCTCATCCTCCTCCTCCTCCTCCTCCTCCTCCTCATCCTCCTCCTCCTCCTCCGGTCCTCCCCCTCCTCCTCCTCCTCCTCCTCCTCCTCTTCCTCCTCCTCCTCCTCCTCCTCCTCCTCCGGTGGGCCCAGAGGCCGCCCGGAGAAGCCGCGGAGCTGCGGCCGGGCAGCGCCGCGGCGGCCGCCGCTGCGTCCCGACGCCTGGCGCGCAGCGGTGCCGCCGCGGAGCGCGCGCGTGGGAGGATAGACTTTGCCCGCGGGGGCGCACAGGTGACCCTCGGGGGCAGCGATAGGGGGGGAACAGGCAGAGGGGGGATGCATCGACCCCCAATCGCCGATTGATCGCCGATAGGGGCCCGATTGCCCCACCCCGCCCAGGAAGGTGCGGATTCGCTATCGAGGGCCTATCGCCGATCAATCGGCGATGTATCGCCGATTCCAGGTCGATGCATCCCCCCCGATGCCCATCCCCCCCTATCGTTGGCCCTCATGACCGCGCTCCGCGGCCTGGGCTGGAGAGGTGCTCTTCTCCAGGGGGGCGGCAAGAGGGCGCGAAGATGAGCGCGGCTCGCGTGTTGTACGGCGCGACGCGCGAGCTTGAGTGATCTGGGCAAGTGTGTTTATATTGGGAAGGCCTTACGGCCGGTGCCGCCGACCCTGAAGGGGGACGACGACCACGACGACGGCGTCGGCAGCGACGGTGACGACGTGTGGTAGAGTCCTCAGTGATCCTTCGTGGGGCCTCTTCGGAGCGCGCTCGTAGCCCTCTGGTCCCTTCGAGCTTCCTGGGAGCCTTTTGGGAGCCTCTTGGGGCCTCTTGGGGCCTCTTGGGAGCCTTTTGTGCCTCCTGGGAGCTTCTCGGGGCCGAGGGCTTGAAATGTTCGTTCGGGCTCCCGCGTGGGTGCCCTATTGGAGCCGTCTTGGGGCGTTGGGAAGCCGAAAAGACAAGAACGCCAGAATCTCTCAAAAACCTTGAAAGAAAATCATGCCATTTTGTCTGTTGGGACGCTCTCTGTGTGCTCTTGGAGACCCCTTCGAGCGTCTTTGAAGCCGCGTGGGCTGTCAGGAGGCCATCTTTGGCGTCTTGGACTGATTGTTCGGCGATTCGGGGCCCTCTTGGACGGTCTTGGGGGCCTCTTGGGCTGTCTTGGGCCTTGCTGGGCCCCCAGGGGAGGATGGTATTCTGACCCGGGACCCCCCTCGGGGACCCCCCTCGGGACCCTGCTCCCCTCTCCTCCGCCCCACCGGGAAGAAGGGATCCAAGGGAAGGGGCTTCCCTTCGACTCAACTACGAAGTTGCTTCATTTCGCTTTCGCTTCGCTTTGGCTGCCTCACTCAAGGAGGAGGGCCAAGGGAAAGGGGGGTTAAACGCGACGGCGACGACGACGACGCCGAATCAAGCAGAACAGCGTCTTCTTCACGCCGACAGGGTCGGCGGATGTGTTTGCTCGTGCGTGCGTGTACGTGTGTATGTGTGGGTATGTGTGTGTGTGTGTGTGTGTGGACGCCCGCGTTCTCCCGCTCGACTGCCTACGCCACACCGCCGCGCGCGTGGCCGCAACGCCAAAAAAGTATGTGTGGGTGGGTGTTTGTGTGTGCTTGAGTCCGTCTGTGTGTGAATGGGATTCGGTGTCCTGTCTCCTCTCTCGTCGTTCGTCGTCGCTCGTCTCTCGCGCTTTCTTCGGCTTCGGCCTCCTCTTGTTGCTCCGTCGTTGTCGTCTAGTCGTCCCTTTTTCTGTTGTGGTACCCTCCCGGAGGGATCGCCCCAGCAGGTGCGGTTCGCCACACGTCTGAAACGCTGCCTCTGCTGGAGGCTTCACTTTCAGCTTGTGCCCCAGCTCGCTGGATGCGACGCGTGGTGTGGTCTCTTTTTGGTTGTTGCTGCCTGGTCCTCTCTGCCTTGTCGTTCGTCGTCGCTCGTCTTTCTTGCCTTCCTCGGCTTCGGCTTCCTCTTCTTCTTCTTCTTCTTGTCGCTCCGTCGTGGCCGTCTCTTCGTTCCCGTCTTGTCTCTCGGCGCCCTCGTCGCATACACGCCTCGCCACTCGCCACTGTCGCCGTGTCACCGTCTCGCCGGCTATGCTTGACGCGCTACAAGGTCTATTGCACGGCACTCGTTTGGTGTGTTCATTATTGCTCTCATTTGCCCGCCCCCAGCCCGGGAGAACACGGATTTTGCTCAAGCGGCGGTTGCTCCAACGCTGCGGAGATGGAACAGGTACGCGCGCGCGTGTGTGTGCGTGTATGAGAGTGTGTTTGTGAGAGCGTGCGTGTGTGAGAGTGTGTTTGTGAGAGTGTGTGTGTGTGTGTGTTTGTGAGAGTGTGCGTGTGTGAGAGTGTGTTTGTGAGAGTGTGTGTGTGATTGTGTGTCTGTGTGTGTGCGTTTGTGATGTGTGTGTGTGCGTCTGTGTGCTTTCCGCGTTTGTGCACATCCACCTGCGCTGCTGGGCGTATCGACCACGGCGTGGGGCGGGGCCTGGGGCTCGGCCCTCGCCGCGCAGAGCATCGTTTTCGCCACCGCTTTTGTCGTGGTGGGTCCACCGAGTAAGGGCTCTGGGACCACGAGTGACGTACGCTGGGCTCGACATCTTGGGGTGGCCTCGCGTAGCGAGAACGAGAACCCAATACAAAGGAGGACATAGCCCCGACACGCACCAGCCGCGTCACAGGATGGTGGCGGATATGCGCGGCGGGGGCGAAGAATGGAGAAGGAGGAGGAGGAGAAGGAGGAGGAGGAGGATGAGGAGGAGGAGGAGATGGAGGAGGAGGACGAGGAGGAGGAGGATGAGGAGAGGGGGAGGAGGGGGAGGAGGAGGAGGAGGAGGAGGAGGAGGAGGAGGAGGAGGAGGAGGCGTCTCTCTCTGTCTCTGTCTCTGTCTGTCTGTCTCTCTCTCTTTCTCTTTCTCTCTTCCTATCTTGTTCCTTCCGTGGCCGACTCGTGCACGGTGCGAGGACCCAGCGACGGTCCATCTTCCTGTCTGACTGATGACTGATGTCCGCGCCGCCTGCAGGCCTTGGAGATGATGTTGCCGTACGTCGGCGAGCGGGTCGTGACCCTGGAGGCTGGCCGGTGGGCACATCTAGTGCGGTGGGGGGGCGTCAACAGTCGACCAGACGTAAGAGTGACCTTTCGCCGGAGTGACCTTTGGTGCGGGCACAGATGGGTCCCCAGATGGCTGAAAACGGAGCAGGAGTAACGGCTTGCGCGCCCAGGTTTGGTCCCTACGCGGCCCCCAAAAAGCCGCGCACCAAAGGTCACTCTTACCCAGGGTCACTCTTACGTGTAGCCGAAGCAGCCAGTTCGGAGAATTTGCGTCTTCTTCGAGCCGGGGATTACAGCGGATCTCTGCATCATTCGCCCCAATCGAGGGGCCTCGATTTTCGTCGCGTCCGCTCGCCCAGGCCATAGTCAGCACTTACAGCCTGAGTGCAGAGCACGGCCTGGGCCATACCACGGAGCGCCATTGCCCAGCGATAGACCGGCTACGCTGCATTCGCCAGTCTAGCGCCGGGGAGTTGCGCTACACTGCCTAGGCTCAACAGGATGAAGTGGGGGGCAGGAACCATTTTGCTTGCGAGTTTGGCTGGCGCGGCCGTAAGGCGGCCCAGTCGAGAGGGTGCTCGCTTGCTCGGCGGCGCTTTCAGATCCGGGGATGAGCCCCGACATCATAAGCGGATCTGTGAGCATTGGCACTCTGATCTGGCGCGACGTGCGGAAGCTGGCCAACAGACTGGTGATTCACATCGGGCCTGAGAACATGCGCTCAGGTTGCGTTGTTCACTTCAGTTTGACAGGTCGGAGGAAGCGCATATTGGGGCTTGGCGCGGTCACGGGGCAGCGAGGGGACGGGCGGAGCTGGCACGAACCCCCTTGCAAGGAGACGCGACGCGGAATTAGGGGCTTCTTTTGCAGCAGCCTGTCTCTGAGTCTGCCTGTCGTGCTGACTGGCCGTCTGCCTTCTGTCTGTCTGTCTGTCTGTCTGTCTGTCTGTCTGTCTGTCTGTCTATCTGTTTGTATCTGCCTGTATCTGTCTGTATCTGTCTGTCTATCTGTCTGTATCTGCCTGTATCTGTCTGTATCTGTCTGTATCTGTCTGCATCTGTCTGTATCTGTCTGTATCTGTCTGCATCTGTCTGCCTGTCTGTATCCGTCCGTCTGTCTGTCGGTCTGTCTGTCTGTCTGTCTGTTTGTGTCTGTGGCTGCTCTGCTCAGGCATGCATGTACGCATGGGCCCTGCTGGGTATTGAACGCGGTGGTCTGGGCAGCCTGCGGCCCACCGGAAGCTTTCACGAGAGGAGAGCAGACCCCCTCTGTGCGCTTGGAGGTAGTGGGAAGGAACTGGCACTAGGGTTAAGGCGGCCATGTCCCTCTGCAGGAGGAATATTCAAAGATAGTAAGAAATAGTCCGGGGACGATTTGTTGATTCGTTTTGACTAGTTTTCCGTACTTTTTGAATATTTGTCGTTTTGCTCCCAAAGCCCGCCTTTAGGAGAACATACCCGACTTAAGCCTGCCACTGGGGAAGGGGAATCCAAACCGTGAGTAGCTTTTCGCTTAACCGTGAGCGGCTTTTCGCTTAGCCGTGAGTGATTGAGTGCACGCTGTGAGTGCACGCTGTGAGTGCACGCTGTGTTGAGTGTACGCTGCGAGCCCACGCTGTGAGTGCACGCTGTGTCGAGCCCACGCTGTGAGTGCACGCTGTGTTGAGCCCACGCTGTGAGCCCACGCTGTGAGCCCACGCTGTGAGCCCACGCTGTGAGCCCACGCTGTGAGCCCACACTGTGAGCACACGCTGTCAGCCCACGCTGTGAGCCTACGCTGCGAGCCCACGCTGTGGGCCCACGCTGTGAGCCCATGCTGTGAACGCTGTGAGCCTACGCTTTGAGCACACGCTGTGGGCCCACGCTGTGAGCCCACGCAACACACCACACGCAACACACCGCACACGCAACACGGCACACGCAAAAGACAACACACGCAACACCGCACGCAACACACCACACGCAACATTCCGACACCACACGCAGCACACCACACGCAACGCACCACACGCAACACACCACACGCAACACACCACACGCAACTCACCACACGCAACACACACACACACACACGACACGCAACATACCGCGCGCAGCACACACGCAACACTCCACACGCAACAGACCACACGCCACACACGACATGCAACACACCACACGCAACACACCAAACACCACACACATACACACTTCACGCAACATACCACACGCAACACACCACAGGCCATTCACCACACGCAACACACCACACGCACACACGACACGCAACATACCACACGCAACACTCCACACGCAACACACCACACGCAACACACACTACACGCAACACCACCCGCAATACACCACACGCAACACACGACACACAATACACCACACGCCACACACCACACACCATACACCACACACCACACGCAACACACCACACCGCACTCCGCACACCTCCCACACCACACACACACACACCACCCACCACCACCCACCACAGACTACCCACCACGCACCACACAGCACACACCACGCATCACACACACACACCACACACCACACACCATACACCACACACCGCCCACCGCACACCGCACACCGCACGCCGCACACCGCACAACACCCACCACGCACACGCGCACACACACACACACACACCACCACCCCACCACCACAACCACCACCACCGCCAACGATACCGCCACCACCAACGCCACCGCCAAAACCACAATCACCGCCACCACCACTCCCACCACCACCACCACCTCACACAACGCAAGCACACACACACACACCACAGAGGAAATCACTCTCGGACCGCGCGGAGAAATCCAGCGGGTAAGCAATTCGAGATTCCGTCAGGCCCGCAGCGTGTACTCACAGCGTGCGCTCACGGTCTTTCTCACCGGGTGGCGCGCAGCGTGCGCTCACAGCGTGCACTCACCTCACAGCGTGATTGGCCCACGCTGCTGTGCGTGCCCGCCGTGGTGAGCCCACGCTGTGAGCCCACGCTGTGCGCCCACGCTCTGAGTCCACGCTGTGAGCCCACGCTGTGGGCCCACGCTGCGAGCCCACGCTGTGAGCCCACGCTGTGAGCCCACACTGTGAGCCCACGCTGTGAGCCCACGCTGTGAGCCCACGCTGTGAGCACACGCTGTGAGCCCACGCTGTGAGCCTACGCTGCGAGCCCAGGCTGTGGGCCCACGCTGTGAGCCCACGCTGTGAGTGCACGCTGTGAGCGCACGCTGCGAGCGCAGGCTGTGCGAGCGCGCTCATCAGCTCAGCGAGCCCTCGACGCCGCGTGCACTCACAGCGTGCACTCGCAGCGTGCACTCACAGCGTGCGCTCACCGCAGCGTGCACTCACAGCGTGCACTCAATCACTCACGATTAGGATCTATTCTCACCGGTGGGGGCCAATCCGAGCTTGCACGCCAGGCCTTTCATCACACTGTGCCGCTCTGTCAGTTCGACCATCGCGGGCGCGGGCCTTTCGATCCCCCTCCCATAGTGCTGGCGGGTTCGGCCTGGCCTTCCAGGGTCCATTTCGATCCGATCGATCCGATTCGACATCGATTGCGGCCGGCCCGATCCGATTCGATTCCGGTATTCCGACGATCCGATGCGGCCCGATGCTTGCATGGTGCTGTTGTGCATCCTGGCGCAGCCAATCCGACTCGATTTCGACCCGGGCTCGGGGGCAGGACCCCGCGGACGCCGCGCTGCTCGTGGAGGCCACGGGCCGCAACGCGCCCACGGCAGCCCTGCGGTCGGCCGGCAGGAGGCAGCTGGAGGCTCTGGACGCCGGAGGAGTGCAGGGGGCAGCTGGGGGCCGGGAGCCTGGAGGCGGGGGTCAAGGAAAACGGGGGTCAGCCAGGGCGCCGGCTCTTGCGGGATCCTGCCAAGCCAGGGTTGCACTGACCCGGATCAGCGCGCAGGATCCTGCAGGATTTTGCGGAGCCCGACTGACTTGGTTTTGCATTGGCCTGGCTCAGTAGATCCCCGAATGGGGAAGCGCTGGGCTTGGGCTGGTGTCTGTCGAAGAAAGCAGAACACATAATGCGGAATTTCTGGATCGGCGCTGGGCCTCTGGCGCCGCCCCTGGCGCCGCCTATGGCGCGTTCCGCGCGTCTTGGAGGGGGCCCCAGCGCAAATCCAAGAATCCGCGCGGACCTCCGAAAAGTTTATGTTTATGCAATTTGTTGTTCCGCGTATCTGGGCCTGCCAGATGGGGCCAGAGCAGATGGGGTCGGAGGATCGCGCCGCATCGCCGACGCATCGGCGATGCGGCTGGATGCGGATCCCGATTTTCTCCACGCCGACGTCGCTGGTGCATCGCCGACGTCGCCGATGCATCGCCGATGCTGGAGGAGTGCCAGGGGCAATGAGGATCGAATCATAAAGAATTGCATAATCATAAACTTCGACAGCCCACTCGGATTTCTTGGATCTGCGCCAGACCCCTCTCCCTGGCGCGCTGAGCGCGCCAGGGGCGCCGACGGAGGGACCCACCAGGGAGTCCAGGCGCAGATCCAGGAGAAATCCGCGCGGACCGTCAGACGCTCGTGTTCATGTCGTCTCCTCTTCCTCCAAGGGGGTGGGCGCTGGTCTCGGGGGCTGGTGGAGGGTCGGGGGCAGCGATGCAGCAGGCACCCCTCGCAAGAGAGCGGCCGGCCAGCAGGTGCCCCGCGGAAACGTCTCATCCGCCGATGGCCCGGGGGACCCACAGAGGCTCCGGGGCACGGCTGTGCCCTCAGCGATCGACGAAGAATGCGCCCCAAGATCTCTCACAGCAAGGTTTCTTACTGTCGGGGCGCTGAACAAGAGGAGCCCTTTTCGTTGAGGAGGGGCTCATTGCTCCTTAGTTGTGTGTCGCACTTTGCCTGAGGTTGTCCTTAGGTTTTCGATGGGAAATCGAAGTATCACTTATGGGTAAAAGGGGCCTCGTTCCTGATCTGTCGTTCCTTAGTTCAACGCCCCGACTGTATGGTATGTGTCTGCTGCAGGAGGGGATAACCTCAGGGGGGCACGCATCGACCCCCAACGTCCCATTGATCCGCCGATGGGCGCCCGATGGCCCACCCCTCCCGGGAACACGCAGATTCGCAATAGGGGGGCCTGTCGCCGATCTATCGGTGGCGTATCGCTGATTCTAGGTCAATGTTCCCCCCCCCTGCCCTGGTCCCCCCAAAAGTTGCCCCTCAGAGGAGGAGGATAAATCCGTTCCAGAGCGTTCCGGAACGCTCTCGCGGAGCGTTCCGGAACGCTCCGAGAAGGCCGCGGCGCCCGAGAGGTCCTCCAGAGCCGCCGGATCTCAGAGATTCTCCACTTATCATCACCCGATTTCATCCTCGTCCTGGCTTCGCCTTAGATTTCGGGCTTTCCCCACGGGAGGGGCTGCACTCTCCTCGGCTGGCGGCTCGCTGCTCGGCGTTCCGTGCTCTCCAGCTCTTGCTGCGAGGGCCGGCACGGGCTTTGGGGCCGCCTCGGCGGGGGCCGTGTGCTCCCGGCGGGCTCCGAGCCTGGCCCCAGCCGCTCTGCACGCACGTCCGCTTCCAGGCTATGAGGCTCTCCACCTCGCGGGTGGCGCGTGGCAGCCGAGAGTGCCCGCCTCCGAGGCACGAGGGGAGGGCCAGCGAGCGCCCCCGGCGCAGGGGCACCGCTGGGGGCGCGGACCCAGGGGCTCGTCGACCGCGGGCCTCGGGGGCCTCTCGCCCAGCTCGTCGGGCCACTGGACGTCAGCCTTCTTCAGCATGGCCCCAGCAGGAGAGGAGGGGCCCCCGCGCCCCAGTGCCCAGACGCACACGATCAAGAAGCCTCCTCCCGAAAAGTTGGGCCAGCGTTTCTCAAGCAACTTGCGGGAGCGCTGGCCCAGTTCCTTGAGCACGTTCGCCCCTCCAGCGTGATCGGCAGAAATTGGCCCAGGCTTGGTTTAAGAAACTTCCGGGAAGCTGGCCCAGATTTCTTAACTTATAATTTTCTGGATCATATTTTCGGCTGTAGTTCAGCAGCAGCCTGTGGTTGTTATATCAGTGGCGCTCACAAGGGTAAGAGCGAGAAGTTGCAAAACCAAGGCATCACAGGACACCAGCCACCAGGCACCACCCATAGAGCACCAGGGGAATGAGATATTGCAACAAGTATGGCTTCATTGGGTGCCAGCCATGGGGCACCAGGGCAAGAACCAGCAATCGCAACGGTCAAGGCATACAGGGGCACCAGCCATAAAGCACCACCCATAGGGCACCATCCATCCATAGCGCCCCGGGGAAGGAGCGAGAGACTCGTAGCACCTGTTCCCAGCACCTCTCGATACGAGCAGGAGCCACGGTGCAAGGCACTGCTTGGGGCATGTCTCACCGCATGGACTCGATGCGCGCGGACGTCGACCAAGCGGGGGCCTCGAGCTGGCCTCCCAGCCCTGCACGGCGTTGCCCAAGACACGCTGCAGCAGGGGGGGGGCACGCTCGCCCCGTGTGCTCCTGCGCGGCCGCCCTCGCCCACACCTCGTGCCCTCCCGCTGCCGGTGCGCCCCAGGAGGAGGAGGAGGAGGAGGAGGAGGAGGAGGAGGAGGAAGAGGAGGAGGAGGAGGAAGAGGAGGAGGGAGGAGGAGGAGGAGAGAAGGAGGAGGAGGAGGAGGAGGAGGAGGAGGAGGAGGAGGAGGAGGAGGACAGAGGAGGGAGGAGGAGGAGGAGGAGGAGGAGGAGGAGCTGGAGGAGCTGGAGGAGGAGGAGGAGGAGGAGGAGGAGGAGGAGGAGGAGATGATGAAGGAGGAGGAGGAGGAGAAGGAGGAGGAGGAGGAGCCTCGTGCCCTCTCGCTGCCCGTGCTCCCCCTCCCCCCGCCCCGACGGCGTCGGAAGGGGAGGATGCGTGCTTCTGGCGCGGGGGGCGGGTGCCGGCCTGGTCCCGATGTCGGCCCTCCGCACGCAGAACGCCGTGAACCTGTACATCAACGACCTAATGGTCTCGCCATCGCTCGGACGTCCATTCCCCTTGCGTTTTTCGGTTTCGTGCGTGTTTTTCTTCGCAGGATGATCCAAGCTGCTCTTCGATGGTCCTCGCCGAAAAGAAAATGCACACGTCCGAGCGGTGCCAAGTGGCGGGCAGTGGCGAAGCGTCCTGGCTCGCCAACAGGCCCACCAAAGAATGTTCTAAGAGCTTCTTGTGGTCTGCACGAGATGTTCTCAGAACATGTCTGGCTGGGACTGCCTTGCTTTAACACATCGGGTTTATGCATTTTCGGGTTCCAAGAGGATTTGGGAGGCCTAGATGGATGCCAGGACGGTCGGTCCCTGCTCGAGATGGTGGGCAGCGCCGTCGTGCGTGCGATCCCGTGTTCCCAGAGATCCGACGCTCCCCAAAAAATGGAGCGGCGGGATTTGGGCAGTCTTCGGCCTCCGGGGGCCCCTCGCCAGGCCTCGGGAGCGTCAAGGAACGGCTCGGGACAAAAAAACGGCCCCAGAGAAGTGGTTTGGACCTCTGGGGCCCACGCACGTCGGCGGCGAAATCCGAACCCTACCTCGCCGATCAACGATTCAAGGCAACTCGATGGGCGGCGTGGGTAAGTTTCGGAATTCGTCGAACGCCACCCTCGCCTCCCATCGATTCAGAAGAGTCGGTGGTCGGTGGGGGTATGGTTCGGATCTGGCCCCCTACTGTGCGATCCTGTGCTGCGCGAGCCCGTGCGAGCTCGACCTGTGGCGTGGCAGCGCCGTCGCGCGTGCGATCCCGTGTGCCCGGAGATCCGTCGCTGGCCAAAAATTGGAGCCGCGGGATCTGGGCAGTGTTCCGCCTCCGGGGGCCCCTCGCCAGGCCTCGGGAGCGTCAAGGAACGGCTCGGGCCAAAAAAAGGGCCCTAGGAAAGTGGTCAGGACCTCTGGGGCCCACGCATTGAACAAAAATTAGAGCAGCCGGATGTCTGGGTTGGGCGAGCCTGTGCGAGCTCGACCTGTGGTGTGCGGAGCTTGACGTCACGATCGCTGCCTCTATGTTGTGCGTACTTGTCTTGTGCACTGTAATGCAGCCGCTTTCCTGCTCCAGCTTTGAAGTTTCAAGCCCAGTCAGGGCATCAAAATCTCCCAGGCGTGCGCCCTGCAGCGCCATCCTTCTCGTAGCAAAGCGCAGACACCATCCTTGCGAGCCAGGAAAGCGCAGCAGTGGCAGGTTTCACTGGCACCAGAACTAATAGCAATGGTACATCAAAGATGACGGCAAATGTCGGCGATGATGACGAGAAACAGTTTCGCGGCGATGATACGCGGGGCGCCGGACTTCGTGGGACCTCTGCGTAATGGCGCGGGATGTTGAAAACTATTGTTTTTGGCTTTGGGATTTTGCGGCACCCCGCTTTGACCGTATGATCGTATCCAGCTGTCCGCGGCAAACCCCGCCACCATGCCCGTGCAACAGCGCAGCAGGAATGAGGCTGAGTGTAGGAGCAGCAGAACTCCGAAGAGTGGTCTGATGAAGACGGGTCGTGAACTCGACCTCGTCTTCGTCCGCGCGATTGGAAGGAGGCAGAGCACACACCCCGCGGCAGTTCAGCGAGTGGTCTGATTTGCTCGTGATCTCGACATCGTCTTCGTCCGCGCGTCAGGGACGAGGAGGAGGAGGAGGAGGAGGAGGAGGAGGAGGAAGAGGAGGGGACTCTGGCCCGTCTGACGCCTTCGGAGGCCGTCTTGGCATCTCTGGGCCGTCTTGGTGCCCTCTTGTATCGGGGGTGGACAGACCTCCTACCCTGACACGTCGATTAAGGAATTGGCTGTTTTCGGTTCGCGAGAGGGCGTCGCGGCCGTCACTTTTGCAGGTCCATTCTGGGGCCCCTCTTGGGGGCCCTCTTGGGCGATCTGTGGGTCCTCTTAGGCCGACTTGGGGCCCCCTCGGGGGCCCTCTTGAGCTGGCTTGGAGCGGTCTCGGAGGCCTCTTGTGGGCCTGTCGGGTTGTCGTGGGCGGTCGGGCATCCAAGCAGGCGAGAGCCTCAACATCTCAAGAGCCTAAGGCACATCACTGGTTTTGGCCTCTTCGGCCTTGCCAGGAGGGCCTCTTGGAGCCCTCTTGAGCCATCTTCGAAGCTTCTTCGGCCGTCTTGAGGCCATCTTGGGAGCCTCTTGAGCCGTCTTGGGCCATCTTGGGCTGTCTTGTTGCCATCTTGGCTGCCGTGAAAGCTGTCGTGGTTGCCATCTTGGCCGTTTGGTGGCCGAAAAGAGCAGATGCGCGCTGGGAGGGAGGGAGGGGCTGGGGTGGGTGGGGGGCGGCCTTAGAAAATTCGAAAGCACCCCTCGGACAGCAGACGAGCACTCTAACACGCCCACTCCGTGTAGGCACGGTGGCGGATCAACTGAGGGGGGATGCGGGTTGGGGGGGAGGGGGATGCGACTGCCTTGGCATCGCTCGGACGTGTGCATTTTTTCGGCGAGAACCATCGAGGACTATCCTGGAGAGTCGAGCAGCGAAAGCACGCACGAAGCCGAAAAGTGCATAGGGGGTGGACGTCCGAGCGACGGCAAGTGGCCTCCGAGGCTCTGGGAGCCTCCCAGGCTCTGGGAGGGTCGCGGTCTGGCTATTCAGACAAGTTGCAAGCTTTGTCGTATGCAACGTATAGCAAAAACAAACACATTTCACATCAGATTCGGTGTTCGTTCGTTTTGGGCATTTTCTGAACATTTGACTGCATCCCTTGAAAGGGCCTCAGGAGACCAGGTCTCCAATTGTCTTGGGCTCGTCTCCTTCCTCGTCCTTCCTCGTCCTCACTCGCCCTCTGCGCCGTGCCATCTCCCAGAAACGACCTCTCCCGGCGCGCGGGGACGTCCTCCGAGGGCTCCCCCCCCGGGACGTCGTCGCGGACAGCGCCACGGACCTCCTGCGCGGGCGCGGAGGGGGCCCCGGCCGCAGCCCCCACCGCAGGAGAGCGAAGGTCTGCCTCGGAAGACAGCTGCAGCGGGGCCCTCTGCGTCCGAGGAGGCGCGCTTCGGGGGCCACATATCGCAGGCCTAGAGGTTGACACCAACACCAAGATCGGCGGTGTGCCTCCACCGAGCGGAGACGATCCCGATCTCGGTGATGGTGGTCATATTCTGGCTTCCCAGGTGGCCGAGATATTGCTGCCAGCTCCGGAATCCAGGATCATCTTCCCCACGTGGAGGCAACCTCCTTTGCTGGTGTTGGTGCCAATTTCCAGGCCTCCAACACATGCGAACCCTACGTACCCCTACCCCCCCACGATTTCTGAGGGGGAGTGTGGGGTTCACTTCGCTCGGGAGCTCCCGAACGAAGTGAGCCCCACCCTCCCCCTCAGAAATCATTGGGGGGAAGGGATAGGGTTCGCGTGTGGCCCCCGAAGCGCTGATCTGTAGGTGAAGGCCTGGATCCGATGCGAAGCCTCATCGCATCGAGCTCGCACGGGCCAGGGTGGAGAGGCCCACGGCGTGCTGGCCGTCCGCCCCGATGGGGCTTGCCGAACGGGAGACCCGCTGTCGGACGAAGAACTCTCGGAGGACTGATGCACGCGCGAGGTTTTTATTGCATCCGCCTTTGCCTCGTCCTTGCGCTCCTCTTCCTCCTTCCTCCTCCTCCTCCCCTCGGCTTCCTCTTCCTCCTCCTCCTCCTCAAGCCTATATGTGTACACGCTCGGAGGAATGGCAAAATATCCAGCACGACGAGCAGACTCCCAACGCTGATTGGTGCTTCTTTATGGACGCAACGTTAACTATTGGCAGCAAACACTTCGCCAAGGCGCCCGAGTACCTACCAGGATATCGCACGCTTGCGGTTACCATCCAACCTCTACTCGATCAGCAGCGGGCGCTGCGGCGGCAATTTTGTGAGTTTGGCGACTCGGAGGACCAGGTCGACGAGCACCTCAGGCCGGCACTCCTGGCTACACAATGGCAACTTCGATGTCACACTAAATGGCTGCGCTCTGCATGACGTCAGTATTGGCGAAGTTGGCGAGAGGACACGGTTGACGAGCTGAACGAGGCGCGCAGGCAGGGACGGCGAGCCGAGGTCGCTCGGCTCTCACGGCTACTTGCGGGCACAGGCGTCGGACCACGAAAGCGAAACTATCGTCGAGCACCAGTGGCCCTACATTGCTGAACGCTGGGCTTTACCAGCAGGACGTGGTGGCATGGCCGCCGCCAACATAGACTGGCTCAAGGAGGCTGAGGACTACGTCTACGACGACGCTACTGGACAGGAAGCACATCACTTCATTGCTCCGTGGACAGAGGAGGGCGTGGCATGGGCAAACCATCGCATTCAGGAGATCCGCAGATGGATTAGACGAGCTCCTAAGCGACGAGCTTGCCCGCCTTGATCAGCACCTTTAGAGCTGTGGTGGATGGTCTTTCACCCTTACCGCCGCGCTTCTCGACGATATCACGGTGTTGGCTACGAGACCCTTCAGATTCACCAGGAGTCCACGCGCAAGTTCTTGGTAGTTTTCACGCATGGGCTTTGCAGATATGGACAGGTGCCGCTGGTCTGGCACCTCAGTCAGGGCGTTGCGCTCTCTTGGGAGCGAGTTATTCACCTCTTCGACCCGTTCGGCAAAGGCTTCATGGCTACGGCGACCGACGCGTCCGAGATGCACGACGAGCCGCTCTTCGCGCGCGGCTGCATTCCACACCGTCGGCGAGAGACCGCTATTCTTGGCCAGCAACTCTGTATGTGGAAGCTGCGCCGCCTCAATATCAATGACATTACTGACTTGAGGGATATTACCCACGCCTTCGCCTCGACGGACTGGCAGAGCCTCACCGACGCCAACGAGAGCATCATGGGGGGAAGGACACGTGGCGTTCAGCCGACAGAGATATCGGTTCGCTGCAGTTATGTTTGGAGGTATCTGTGTTCGCCCCAGCGTGGGCGCATTGATTGGAGACCCCTGGGCGGTCAAGGCATTCGCGCGGGACACTAGCGCGGTGTTTGCGTCTGCGCAGGAGCAGTTTGAACGGCATGGTCCTGAGTCGGCTACTTGGTGCCAGCTTAGTCTACATCACGACGGAGAGGATATCGTTCTTGACTTGGCCGTTCACTCTTACGTCGGCGACGCGATCCGCAAGATTGTGACTGAGGAGCAGACGGTTCGCGAGCTGCCTCGCTGTCCTCGCGCCTACGATCTGCTTCTTTCTGCCGAGCTTAGACGACGCGGCTATGCTCTCAACCCCTCCAAGAACGTCAGCCTCCTGTCATTCGCGGGCGAAGGTTTGCACGCTCGGCGTCGGGGGGGTGGCAGAAAACAAGTTCTTCTTGCTGGTGCCCCTGCCGACGTCACTCGCCATGTTGGGGGCCAGGTTATGGGCAACGGTTTGTTTCGGGCTGAGCTGGGTTCCAGGGTGTCGGCTCTTTAGTTTGGTTTCTATTCCACGGGCAAGTACTGGTATTCCAAGCGCGCCGCCTACGTCGAGAGGCGCGCTGTCTTTTTGGCAAGGGTGGTAGTCCCTGCTTGTTCTGCCTGCGAGGCCTTCTCTGCCCACCCCGAGCCAGGTCGACCGACCAGCTCACAGCCAGGGTGGCCTTCTCTGGGCGCAAAGCCATGCGAGGGGCAGCCACGTCTTGGGAGGGTGGGCGCGCTCGCTCTGCCACTTCGGAGGCCGTCTTGAGGTACTGGAAGGTTCCCCCGCTCAAGGCGGAGTTCAGGGTTCGTCGTCTGCGCTGGCATCAGAAGTGGGCCTTCAACCCTTCGAGGCACCTGGGTGAGTGGGCCCCCGTCTTCGGCGACCTCAAAATCGGAAACATGCGGGGCCTCAGCGCGCTCACCTCCGAGGGCCACCTTGCGGCGTCTGCTAATCCTTGGGCCATTCAGTTCGTTCGGGACCACGAAGCACTTCGGAGGGTTTCTCGGACACTGAGGAGGACATGAGGTCTTGGACGGGCGCCCCTCTGGACTTCTTCGATGATGGGGAGTTGAGGGACTGGTTCATTGAGCTCGATCTCTCGGTCGTCAGGGCAGCTCGGCTCTCGGTCCGTATTTCTCCACGTGGCCACCTCCACCGGGCCCCTCCTGATTCACCAGAGGCACCAGCAGGCCATGCTGAGGGGGTTCGTTGCACGATCGACGGCTGTACTAAGTGGTGCCTCGCCAAGAGGCAATGGCTCGCCCATGTTCGTGCGGCCCACGGTTTTAAAACTCTGCTTGGGGCAGCTACTCAGGGGACCTCGTGCTTTGTTTGCTGCAGTCGGTTCCAAAGTCGCAACTCGGCTTGCAATCGCGCGCTGGACTCGTTAGCTCCCGGCATCTGCAAGCACCAGCTCAGCGCTGCGCTCGAGCTCGCTGCCCCCGAGGGCCCCTTCCACAGTCGCCGTTTGTGCGGCTCAAGTTCAGACCGAAGCCGACCTTTACCGTCATGCTCGCCTTCATGTTTAAGACTTGCCACTGGCGCTGCTCGATGGGGTTCGACGAGCCCAGCTGGGCGGCGAAGCGCAAGAGGGGGGGGGGGAGGCAGGCGGCGACTCGTAGTCTGCCAGGCAGGCGCGCCTGCTTCAGGAGATTGGGGGGGGGGCAGTGCCCGAGCAGAAGGGCGGAAAAGGGGGGCGCGCTGGCGGCTCGGCCACTAGTACTCACGAAGCTCGCTCTCACCAACGCGCGCGAGTTGGCCGAGGTGACTGGCGCTTGCTCCACGTGCTGCATGGTCGGGGCGGGCGTCAGCTTCGCGAAGGTGCTGCAGGAGGCGGGGCGCGCCTACGCCGAAGGCTGCAAGGCGGACGGCAAGGGCCATCAGCACGGGCCGCCGTGGCCCCACGCGATCAAGGCACTCATCAAGTGGGCCTGCACGGACGGGGCAGCGACCGCGCCAGCGCCAGCTCAGGATCTGTTCAAGGATTACTGGCAGAAGGTGATTATGACCCCGAACGCGCCCGAGCTCATGGCTACCCCTTGCCGTCACTTTCGCATCAAAGCTTGCTGGTGCGACAAGAAGAAGGCCGAAGTTCCCGACCGCTACAATCTGCAGATCATGCTCGGGGGCAGCAGCGGGCGAACAAGTGGGAGAGTTGCCGGCACAGACTGATGGAGGCCTTGCAGCTGACTCTCATGGCGGCGAGCGGCGATGAGAGAGAGCTTCAGGCGACCTACTTGCCAGGTTCGCCGCCGAGGGGCGGGCTGGAGCGCGAGGCGGCGAAACTCGCGCAGAAGCTGGGCCTCAAGGACAAGGAGGAGGAGGACAAGGACAAGGAGGCTCTTGATCCTCTGGGCTGTTCGCTCCTTCGGCTGGGCAGCGAATTAGCGTGCGCTCGTTTTCATGGCGCATGTCGGCGGCGAGGTGGGCGTCGCCCATGTGTTGCCTTGGCGCCCACAACGTACATGCTTCCATCAATCGGGCTTCCTGTGTGGACGGAATATGCCCCCCTCGCCTGGCTGTGCGCGCGGACCGGAGCCGCGCGCCAAGCTCCAGTGGGCCCCGCTTGTTTTCTTCTTTCCTCCCACTGCACCCTCCCCCCCTCATCATCATTCTCCTCCTCCTCCTCCCCCTCCTCCCCCTCCACCTCCTCCTCCTCCTCCTCCCCCTCCTCCTCCTCCTCCTCTTCCTCCTCCTCCTCCTCCTCCGCCTCCCTCCTGCTCCCTCCTCCTCCTCTTCCTCCCTCTTCATCTTCTTCCTCCTCCCCGCTCATCCTGGTCATCTTCTCCCTCCTCTCTCCCCCTTCTCCTCCCTCTGTCTATGCTCGTATCTTGTTTGTATTCCTCTTCCTCCTCCTCCTCCTCCTCCTCCTCCTCCTCCCCCTCCTCCTCCTCCTCCTCCCGTCTTTGCCTCTTCCAGGGGAAGTCCAATAAGGATCCTCAGGCACACATTTCGGTGGAAGGGCCTCTTCCCTCACTATGGAGCCTTACTTCTCCCACTCTGGAGGTAGAAGTTTTGAACCCTCCGAAGAGGAGGCCCCAAACAATTACCAACGTTAGCTCCAAGTGGACGAGGTGCAATGGTGAAAGAAAGATCGGCCAGGTAAGTTGGTTGCCGTATTGGCACGTACGATGACGTGTTGCGAGCAAGCATGCGAGCGATCAAGAAAGCACGTAACCAAGACACGCACATATCAAACAAATAATGACGCAAGCAGGCAAGCACGCAATGAGGCAAGCGAGCGAGCATGCACGCACGCACGCAAGGAAAAAGCCAAGTAATCACAAGCGTTCAAGCATGCACAAGGGCGAGCCAGTCAGAAAGCAAATGAACAAGCATGCAAGCAGGCAAGGACATACACAATGCAAGAAAACAAACACACAAGCAAGCGAGCAAGATATCAAGCACCAAGCAATCACGCTAACAACCAAGCAATCAAGCGGTTAAGCAATGAAGCCAACAAGCAAACAAGCAATCCAATACACAAACAACACATGTCTCAAGCAAGCAAGCGATGTCACCCCACATGCGCAGCCACCATGCACAACCACCACGCGCACTCTGTATGGGCACCCCTCCATGCGCATCTACAACGCGTTGCTTCTCTGTTACCTCACTTGTCTACTACTCTACTACGGCACGAATCCACTGTTCTATTACCCAACTACTCTATTACTCTTCTGCTCTACCACCATGCTGCTCTATTAATTCAGTACTCTACTGCAGTGGGGGCGCGCATCAAGAGGCCAGATGTCTTTCGTCAGGGTGCCTTTGGTTTCTTCGTGCCGCGTGTTGCGCAATGGGTTCTCGCGGTTGCCAAGAAACTTTCGTGTCCAGGATCCCCTGGGTTTCGTCCCAGTTGCACTTCGGGCAATCAAACGGCCCGCTACCGAAGAAACCCCCAGGCGCCAAAGGCTCCTTGAGTTTCTTGCATCCTTGCGACAATACAGCACTTGAGCGCGGCCTGCTAAGAAACTGCTCGGGCCAGGGCCCCCTGGGTTTCTCCGTGCGACGCCGTCGGTTCAGAAGCCCAAGCCCTGGGAAAGAAGCTTTGCGGCTTTTCAGGGTTCGGTTTCTTGCGATGGTGGCTTGTGGCCGCGCCCCCTTTGTGCTCTACACTCGCAGCCCCAAGCCGCAAGTGGCGTGTGCACGCGAGCCAGATTGGTCGTGCGGGGCAGTGTTGCGCACCAGCTCTTAGTAAAGAGTGCGAATTCGATGCTCAATACACAGCAGGAACCCTTTTCGTTGGGGAGGAGCTCGGTGTTCCTTGATTGTTTTGCAGTTTGCCTTGGGTTTTCCTTAGGTTTTCCATGGGGAATCGAAGTTTAAGTTAAGGGAAACAGGGGCCTCGTTCCTTCTTTAGGGTTCTTTAGGTCAACGCCCCGATTGTATTTGGATGACGCGCCCTTCCGCAACCATTTTGGCTCAAGCCGTTCGAGCTCATACTCCAGAGGTAACCGCAGCTTTTTGGAAGTACACGTCTGGTTCGGTTCGGTTGCTTCGGGCGTGCTGAGAATGCTTGAGATAGTCGTATGTTTGTTGTGTTTTCTGGTCTGTTTGCTGGTGGTGTGGTTCCACAGCCTTGAGGAAAAAGAGAAACAAGCTGTAAACCGACAAGTGAAGAGGAACCTATCGTATTACGCGTCGTCTGCCTTTGCGGCAGCAGCGGCAGATTGCGCAGGAGACCGGATTCACGCCCCACTCGTCAGCGATCTTCTGCTTATGCGGCCAGGCCAGGTAGAACAAAAACTCGGGCTTGATGAGAAGAAACACGCTCGGATCATAATCGATCGTATTGTTCGTGTCTTGCACGACGAATTCCGGCCTATGGAAATTCGTGTTGGTGGCTCGTTCAAAAAGAACACAGCTTTGAAATTCAGGTCAGACATAGATATGACGATGATATTGGTTAGATTTTCCAGCTCTGACCTGTCGTCATATTACGATCGTGCTCAGGCTGCTCTTCAACAAGCTTTTGGCTCAAATGTGGATTTCCGAAGTGATCGACGGAAGCCCTTCTACGTGTTGACGTTTGTCGTTGCAGCTGGGTTGAGCTTTGACGTGGTGACCACTGGAGACCCTCAGCAGAAGTCGTCTGATGCCATTTTTTATTCTGCAGCCACTTCTCACATTGCGGATACAGCTATACGAGAGTTCGGTGATTCACATCATTTGTTTCGTGCATTGGCTCTTCTGTGCAAGTATTGGGCGTACAATTTCGAGCCGTCGCATGAGGCGCAAAAGAGGCCCAAATCGTACTTCATTGAGTTGTTTGTGATGGAAGCGCTGAGTCGAAGTACCTCAAACGCAAGTCTGGGCGATGTCTTCTGTCGAGTCCTATCACTGCTTAAATGCCCCTCCACATGTGTCAAAAATCTCAACCCGAACGCAGAGCCTCAGCTGATTTCCTTGGACGGACAGAAATGGAGTGCATTCCGAGCATATGCCAGTAATACGTTGGATTCCATCTCTTCAGATGTTCGGGACAGCACGATGTCACCCAAAACAGGAAGGCACCGTTCACTATGCGAACAGGCTACCGAACTCATGGAGGACTACCATGTCAAGAATGAGACGTCATTGATCGAGAACGAAGCTTGCCGCGCCGAGTACGAAGAACCGAGCCGTGTACGCCATGCACAGAACGATCAGGAATGGGATGGCCGGTTTTGGGAAGGGGACCATCGGTATGTTTCGAAGGGCGTGTATCGAGAAGGACGTCGCTCTGGGCACGCGTGCGTTGTGAAGTGGTTCAAAACAGGCAGCGTCTATGAATCCAGCTTCTTTGACAAAGACCTGCTGGCCGTTCGGCAAGCAAGCGTCATCGTCGATTCGTTCAACCATGTGCTGAGAATGCGAAATCCGTCGTGGCCGTATATCGTGAAGGTTAACAGTCCTCAAGTGTGGGAGGTCATTGGGAGAGGCGAGAAGAAATTAGTGGAGCCATTTCTCGAACGTTTCAAAAAGTTCAATAGCAATACTGGCATGTCCGATGCAGATGAAGCCCTTATGCAGGCGCTGTCACATTTCTCCTACCATATATCAGATAGCAGATGCTTGCTGTGTGATGTTCAAGGTTGTCCGCCCCCGCCACTGGCACGGTCTCCCACGTACGTTTTGACGGATCCTGTGATATGTTCAGTTTCTCGTTCGTATGGGCCGCTTGACTTGGGCAAGGATGGGATTGAGAATTTCTTCTACTACCATAAGTGCGGTCGCCATTGTAGCCCGCATTGGGTGAAAGCGCGTGGCGTCTGCCACTTTAGACGTTCATGGGGTTCGTACATGCAGGGCTGACTGCGACACGTTCAATTGGTTGCTCGCAGGCGATGAGTTTTGAACAGTCATATCAGCAGCAGAGCGGTTCGATTTTGAAATCGATGCTGGCAGGACCCCCACGTCTCCCAGCGGCAACAAAAGATAAGCGATTCCCCGAACAGTGCTCGCAGTTGGGGGTTCCTGCTTCGCTTCTGCAGAACTGGACCCGGTGGCGGCCCCGGCGGCCCCGTTCTTGTCGGTCGCCGCCCCATGAATGCCAATATCAAGGCCTATTTGCGGGACCAGCGGCCCCGTTCCCGTCCGTCGCCGCCGCTCCGTTGCACCCCCCCCAGTTACATTGCAATCGCATTGCGTTGCAATTGCATTACAATCGCATTGCTTTGCTTTGCTTTGCATTGCAATCGCGTTGCAATCGTATTGCATCGCCTTGCAATTGCTTCCTTCTCTTGTTCCTTCCGCTGGGGCTTGTCTGGAATCTGGGGTATGTTCCGACACAGTGGCAGTTTGGTATTGCCGAGTGCCAGTTTATACCAATGATCGTTGGGATCATGGGGGCATGCGCTCACAACGCTTCAATCCATCTTTCTCCCTTCTCTCTTCCTCATTCTCCTCCTTCTCCTCCTCCTCCTCCTTGTTTAGGCCGCATGGCCTCGCACTGTCTTTCTCGCTCGTGGCTGTCCCAGCCGTTCTGCGTGTCCCCTCGCGCGGCCTTCGGTTCGGACCAAGAAGCCGCAGGGATGGTGGCTCTGTCGGCGACCGTGGCCTTGGGAACTCAGCGGGCCCTCTAGAGGTGCCTGTCGGTGAACAAATTGCTGTGCATTGTTTTGCGCCATATAGATTGCATTACGTGGATTGAACCACCTAGATTGCGCCACATTGATTCTCCTTTCTAAAAATAGAATAGACTCTACCCCCCCCAACGTTATCCGTACCCCTTTCGGGTATGTAAACCATATATGATTCTGACCACATGTCCATCCTAAATATGAATTTACACTATCCCAGATGGGCCAGTATCGACATGTATCGACCCCCCTGAGGTTCCCTTGTAAAAAACGATACGCGGGGACATCTGTTGTTCTAACATAGCACTTTTTCGCGAATCCCTTGCAAAACATAGGACGAAGTGCACACGCGCGCGCCGTCGCGCGCGCATGCCGAAATCCTCCAAAAACCTTCGGTGCCGGAAGGATTTCGCAATCGAGTTTCCAAAAAACATACAAAACACGCGGTTTCGCAACCTTGATTTGCCAAAAAAGCTTACGCGCGAGCTCTTGCGAAATCTTAAGAAAACCATAGGCTTCTCAAGATTTTCACAACATGCTACCAAACAGGCTTCGCGCGTGCGCATGTCGAAATCTGTCGAACGCCCTTGCGCGTGTGCCGTCGCGAAAATCCTCTGCAAAAAACGGGACGAAGTGCAGACGCGCGCGTCGTCGCGCGCGTATGCCGAAATTCTTCAACACCCATCGGTTTCGGAAGGCTTTCAAATCGTGTGTCCAAAAAACCTACAAAAACACAAGCTTTCGCAACACGGATTTTCAACAAAAGCGTGCGCGCGCGCTCTTGCGTCGTCGTCGGCGTCGTTTTCCCTCCTCCCTGGTCGTTGTCGTCGTCGCCGTCGTCGTCTTCCCTCCTCCCTCGTCGTCGTCGTCTTCGTTGGCGACGTCGTCGTCGTCGTCATCTTCGTCGTCGTCGTCGTCGCCGTCGCCGTCGTCGTCGGCGTCGCCGTCGTCGGCGTCGTCGTCGTCGTCGGCGTTGTCATCGTCGTCGTCGTCAGCGTCAGCGTCGGCGTCGTCGTCGTCGGTGTTGTCGTCGTCGTCGTCGTCGTCGTCGTCGTTGTCGTCGTCGTCGAAGTCGTTGGAGACTCGCCCGCAACGTCTACCTTTGTCGACGTTGCCATGATACCGCGCCCGCCCAAGTCGCCGACTCACAATGAAGTGCCCGCGTCGTCGTCGTCGTCGTCGCCTACGTCGTCCTCTGTCTTTCCTCGTGTTCGTCGTCGTCGTCCTCTTTGGCGTCGTGGTCATTTCCGTCGTCGTTGTCGCCGTGGTCGTCCTTCCTCCGTCCTTCCTCCTCCTCCTTCGTCGTCGTCGTCCGTCGTCGGCGTATCGTCGTCGTCCCTCCTACTTCGTCGCCGTCGTCGTCGTTGTCGTCGTTGTCTTCTTCCCTCCTCCCTCGTTGTTGTCGTCGTCGGCGTCGCCGTCCTTCCTCCTTCTTCGTCGTTCGCATCGTCGCCGTCCTCCCTCCCTCGTCGTTGTCGTCGTTGTCGCCGTTGTCGCCGTCGTCGTCCTCCCTCAAACCCTTGTCGTCGTCTTCGTTGGCGACGTCGTCGTCGTCGTCTTCGTCTTCGTTGGCGTCGGCGTCGTCTTCGTCGTCGTCGACGTCGCGTCGTCGTCATCGCCGCCGTCGTCGTCGTCGTTGTCGGCGTCGTTGACGTCGGCGTCGTCGTCGTCGTCGTCGGTGTCGTTGTCGTCGTCGTCGGCGTCGTCATCGTCGTCGTCGTTGTCATCGTCGTCGTCGTCGTCGTCGTCGGCGTCGTCGTCGTCGTCGTCGTCGATGTCGGCGTCGTCGAAGTCGTTGGAGACGTCGTCGGTGTCGTTGTAGTCGTTGTCGGCGGCGTCGTCGTCGTCGTCGTCGTTGTCGCTGTCGTCGTCGGCGTCGCTGTCGTTGCCAAGTGCCATGTGGTACCCACCGTCACGGTCTTAAGAGATTTTGCGAACCAAGTTGCGGGTGGGTGGGTGGGATGTTTGCGCGAGCAGTGGAGTGGACAACTCTTTGCGAACAGAAATTGATTGCAACACTTAGAATGCACCGCGTAACTTACAAGAAAGCACTGTTTGAGGCCCATGCTGGCTAAAATTTTGACGAAGCCCCCAAGGCCCCAAAGCGAGGCTCGACCTCCGCTCTGGAAGTTGTTCCCCTTCACTATGGGGAGTTGTTGCACCGCTTTGGGGGTTCCTCGAGGTCTTGAAGCCTCTGAGTCTGGGGGGAGAAAGAAGGG